AAACAAGCCCCCCCCCCTTTTTTTTTTTTTTTTTTAATTTTATTTTAAAGGACATGCCTACAGAGATGGCTTCCATAAGTTCCTATAGTCCTGTCACTGAGGCATTACTGGACAAAACCAGGTAGAGCTGTGGTACTCTGAGCGAAAGACCTTCCACATTCAGGAAGAGGTAAAACCTGAAGTGTTCCAGCGGTGGAATTACTCTCCTTCAGTGGCTCTCTCCTGCCCCTTATCTTTAGCTGAGAAAGATAAGTTCTTTGGGATCCACCTTTGCCTTGTGGAAAGTATGAGTAAAGTATGGGGTAGGCGCTTGAGTCGCTGCAGTTTCTGCTCTTTGTAGATTACTCTGTGGTTTGTGTGAGCTACTGCTGCATGCTTGAGTTAGTTTCCCTTCAGTTTTATGAAAGTATTTTTTCAACTCTGAAAAAACATTTGTAAGTCCAGACTCTTTTTTTGTAAGGCTAAGTTTCTACGTTTGGATACAGTACCTTAAGCAGCAGTGTGGGATGAAACCTACAATTGTGTTGTCCACTGTTCCGGTGTCGTTTGTGTGCACATTGGTCTGTTAGTTGAGAAGTTTAACTTTGCACAAGTAACCCATGTAAGAAACTGTACATTTTTCAAAAGTTGTAAATAAAGTGTAACCTTAGTGCTTATTGTATAAATAGGCAAGAGGCGTATAACTCTGGTTATTTTAACTGGGACGGGAGGAGGCTGTTGTGCGATCAAGCTCCAGGTAGACTCTTGCAGCAGGATTGTGAAATACTTCCTAACTGTCTGGGCAGTAGTTGTCGCGCTTGGGCGGAAGCTGGGCCGGTTCTAGTGCGGGGACAATAAACTCAGCCCTTCCAGCCAGGAGAAGGAGGTGCGAGGGGCAAAGAAGGAAAGACAGGCCAGGAGCAACTAACTAGCAGAGAAAGGGAGAAACAGACCCAAGTCTTAGCAAAAAAAGCACTTGGGGGAAGCTCAGCACGGTGTCATGCTGACGCGTGAACTGTTGACAAAAAAGGAGCCTATGATAATGAGTTAGTTACAGCAACTTAACAGGCTCAGTAGCCAATTGATACAGGAATCTCATTTATTTTCCTCCTGTCTTATGAGGGAGAGAACAGGATTTAAAATGACTGACACATAACAAAAGCCGGTACTGCTGCTTAGCTCTATGATTAAGATAGAAGCTGCCAGGCTCTCCCAAATAAATTGGATTGGGATTTGTACCTGCTGTGACGACAGCTCATACCCCTGAACAGGCCTGTTGTCTTACATGGAACAGCCTTTTACCACGGAAGGCCTACCTAAGTTATACTTGCTCATTTTCCTAAAGGACCGAGTGTCTTAACCGGGCCCTCGTACCAGCCAGGTACACCTCTTGGGGGTGTGTGGAGAAGGCAGGACAGAGTGAGTCTGCCTCAAGTAATCGTGTTTGTTTCTTAAGCATTCCCTGTGCAAGACTTTCCCAAGTCAGAGCCAGTCGAGCAACGACCACCTTAGTTGCCCCTGCTAAGTTATAGACCAGTGCAAAAAAAACCCAAACAAACCAACCCACCAAAACAAACCACCCAAGCCCAGCACCTGCATTGCTAGGGATGACCGAGGCCAACCAAGAGTATCTGAACCATGGCCCTGTACCAGCTGTAACGATTTCTGCAAGCTATTGCAAGCAGAACCTGTTCCGAATGGTCCACATCGTTCTAATGTCACAGAAGCCCTCGCATCAGTCCCTCCATTTTTGTATTTGTCTTGCTAGTCACTAAAAAAAAAAAGAAAAGGATGGAGTGGACTCTTAAGGCAGCCAGAAACAAGAGCAGCACACAGCTGCAAAAAACAAACAAACAAAAAAGCACAAACCTCACCTTTACACCCCTCTCAGGCAAGGCTCTCATCCGCTAACTTGCTTTTAAACCCTGTGCTGGCTCTCCAGAAAGCTTACGGCTCTATAAACGCAACCGTGCCAGAGAGGCTGGCAATTCTTTAGCTCAAACAGGTAACACCGTCACCCAAATCTACAGCCACTAACTGAACAGGAAAGCAACAGAGGGGTCCTGCACAGAGGTACCGCGCTCGGCAAGGATGGGTGGCCGAGAGTCACGGCCGCTACCTGGGACAGGAAAAGCAACACCCTGCACAGTCACACTAGATCGCTGCCCCTGTTGAGGTACCATTATGTTTAGCCAGCCCCCCCAAAGAGGCATTTTTTCATCCTGAATACTGCAGTCGTGCTCTTGCTGCCTTTCTTCGGCATCACCAAGCTCTGAAGACCTGCTGCACAGCCAAGTTGGGAGGGGGGGCTGCACTCCTGCTTGCAGGAGTAGCTGCCTAGAAAGTACCAGGCTTCTTCCACTCCTACATCACCATCTGCTAGAGCCCAGCGTCCTTGAGAGCAGAATTCAGAAGTAGAGGGAATAACGCACGCAGAGAAAAAAACCCAAACAACAAAACCAACATACTTTCAGAATGAACTGCCAGATTATTTTTCTGCAAAGACAGCAGCAGCATGTTTTTATTTCAGAAGTCCCAAGCTAGCAGAAGCTGTGCTGCAGCCATCCAGGCAGAGAGAGGAGGGAATGCTTGCTCTCTTCGTCCTGAGCGAGCCTTACCTGCCAGGGCAGCCTCTTCCTTTTCACACTGAACAATGGGGATGAAAAATGCCTCTAACTGCACATCACCAGGATATTCTGCTTCATCAGTAGAGGTCAGTCACCCTCTCCTCAGCCCTGAGAGTATTTGAAAAGAAAACGGAATAGGAGGTGGGGAAAAAGGCTAGAGGATGATGTGAAAAGATGGAGAGGCAACTATAGGCAGCAGAAAAACAAAAGCGATAGCTGAGACATAAGGCACCAGGAGAACTAACAAAAAAAAAACAACAGCAGAAAAACAAAAGCGATAGCTGAGACACAAGGCACCAGGAGAACTAACAACAAAAAAAACCCCAACTTCATTAGGACTGGCTTCGCGCTAAAGAATCATCAGCGGGCCCTACTGCTGACAGCGAAAACCCAGCACCTCTAGGCACATCTCACTCCTGGCTCTTCCAAGGCCAGTGCCTAACCGCCATGTTTTCCAAACACGGAGCCAGCGTTCCTCCAAGGTTCCAAAGCACCGTGTCCTGTGGTACTGCTGGCAGACCGGCGCAGGCGGAGGTCAGAGCCTCCTTCCCGGGCAGCGAGAGGAGCGCTCCGGCCTCCCGGCAGCGCGTGCCAGTCCTGGAGAGACGCCACGCTCACACCGCACGTCGGAGCAACACCAGAAAGTTTACTTGTGAATCGCCCTTGACATACAGAAGCGCAGGTGCAGTAACGGAGCAGAGAAATAATTAGGCACAGATTTGATTTTGCTCAGGATTAAAGAGCTTATATTCAAAGTAAAAAAATAAGTTATATAACAGTCCCCACGAGCATCTTTGAGCGTGGGCTCTGCGGTTACCTCCAGTTCTTGTATTTCACACTTCACCACGGTATTTGCACACGTCAAGCAGTGCTCCGAGGTAAAAATGCACTGGAATTCTCTTAGCCCGATACACTGACGATTAAGGTGCATTCAGTAATTCTCAGTATGGGAGACTCAAGGTAGAAATCTATGAATAAAACTGTACAGTTAAACTGGTTAAGGACATCTCTCTACATACATACACAGCAGAGACAGGACCTCGCTATATATATTTCTCAAGAATAAACGCAGTTTTCACACTTTTTTTTAATACAAAGTGTGACAAATCCTGTTTTTTTCCAGAAATAAAACTTTATTTTTATTGTCATTAATACCAACTTTACATACAGGTTTATTCCCCCAGACTGCATTTCCTTTGCTTTTTATTATTTTATTGTTTTGTAAAAAAAAAAAAAAAAAAAAAGGCATTTTTTTTTCCTTCCTTGGTCAAGGAGAATAAGGGAACTATAATTTTAAATGATGTCAAATTCCTTCTCGTTGGATGTGTGTTTTTGCTGTTACAAAACTATTAAAATGTGAAGGAACAAGTAATATCAAAGACACATACAGCAACAGCACTACTGCTTTTGGGTTGTGCTAATATACTTGAACAGAACTCGGTCAGTTCTAAACGCCTAACAACGTTTTAGAAATTATATTAACGAAGTAGAAGACCTTAACGTTAATATAACCCACAACAAGAAAAATGCAGCATCTCTCTCTTTAATCGAATACCTAGGAAGCTCGGTCTCCGGTAAAACGGGACACCCAACCTCAGTTTGTTTGAGGCATAATAAGTTCGTAATGCCCAACCTGGCCTTCTTGCTTCAGCTGGTCTAAGAGATCTTCCTTGCGCCGCTTCCTGCTTACCACCAAGTATCTGTTGTGCCCCTGCCCGTGAGATTTACTTTTAAGACCATATTTTTGGGCGATCTGATGTATCTGCTTCCGCTCATCCATGGTCAGTTCTCGAGAGAAAGTCAAGTCAATGTGACTTTCTGAGCGTGCATAGTTTCGAATGATCTCTTCAATATCTCTTTTAGCGATTTTGTTCACCCTTTCCACATCAAGCCCGAGTCCTTCCCTTTTAAACTGCTCCTTCACCGAGATAGGCTCTCTAATTCCTTCACCATCTTTCCCTAGGCCACCGCCTGTCCAGCCCATCTTTCTTAAAATTTGATTCCCAATGTTGTCCTCTTTGATCTTCTGTTTGAAAGCCTCCTCTGCTGATCGACCCCGAATCTCATTTCTGGAGATGACGTCTTCGACGGTGCCCTTCTTCAGGTTATTAACAACAGTTGGCTGAGTCTTTTTGAGGATTTTCACGGCTTCCTCTGCTGCCTCGTGCTTGACAGATTTCTTCACTCCAACTGCTTCTGCGATGAATTCGTCTTCAAGCAGCACCTTGCATTTCCATCGCATGCCAGTCATCCTTTCAAAGACATACTCCACCGTCATCTTGTTGAACTGGGCGGTGTCATTCAGCGTACACACCGGATTACTGGAGTTCTCATACACCACGAGGTCCTTCAGGTCCTTCTTCCTTCCGGAGCCCCGCGACGAGCAGCCCACTTTCTGAACCTGGGTCACTTTGATGGCTGCTATATTTGACTGTATCTTCTGCAGAATTTTCAGTGCCTCCTCGGCTGCTGCGTGCTTGCTGGTCTTTTTAGTGCCAAATCCCTCAGCTAGGCAGTGATCTTGTAGATACACTTGACAACGCCACGAGCGGTTGGGCATTAATTCATATTTATATTCAACAGACATTTTGTTATATGAGGCAGAATTGTTAAGTATTCCTATTGCGTCGCTGGCATTCTCTGTGAGGACAAAACTAGTCCAGTGTTTGTTGGTATTAGTGGAACCTTTCACAGATTCAGTACCAGGCTGCATCGGGACACAGTCCCTGTTGGCAACTACAAACTCCTCATGAGGTTTGAGAGCAGGAGGGAAGTCTGGGCGACTCACGCCTGCCTCGCACACCACCAAGTCTTCGTGATAGGTGTGCTTGAACTTCCGCTGAACAACCCTAACTTCCACAGACTTCTTCAGCAGCTTGACTGCCAGCTCCGCGGCTCGATCCCTGGATCCGTTTTTGCTGCCAGCGTAACCGGTGGTCAGGTAGACATTCTGACATCGCACTTCACAAGCAAAGCCATCTGTTAGGAGCTTCTTGCTCTTGGGGAGGTCAGCAGGGGCGATTTCTTTCAGAGGAACATAAATATATTCAGGATTTGTCTTGCATGCCTGAATTGAACGTGTCAAAAGATACGTATAGTTTATTTTATCAGTCCCAGTGTTTGCATCTGGGTTAGCAAGATTTTTCCAGATAGCTGCTGACAGTTTCTCGATAAAACTCTGCTTCAGCATTATAGCTGACGGAGGGAAAATCTCTGATGCAGACTGGACAGTTGAAGGAGAAACAGAAACCTGCAACACGCTGCTTGTGGTAGAGTCCATACTATTCACAGCCGCCTTGGCGGCTGCTGCCTGGCCTGCAAAGCCAAACCCAGCTGAGTTGGAGAGCTGGGGATCCACCTCCTGTGCACTCGCAAAAGAATTTGTACAGTTTTCAGCTGGCTGCGCTATGCTGTTTGTATTTGCCTCCTGGTTCACCTCCTGCATTTGGTTATCCAAAGAATCTTCCTTCTTGCCATCCTTCTCAGCACTGGTGACAAAGTGTATGGGTTCAAAACGTGGTCGCACCCGGAACCTGGGGACCATCTTTTTGGGTGGCTCAGGAATCTCTTCCAGCTCTGGACCTACGGGGTGGAAGAAAATGACAAAGTTACCAATACGTGCTGTGACAGGGAGACAATATTTTCACAGAGCGATCTCCAGGAGGAGCCCGCAGCCTTCCCACTTCTTTGCCACAAACCAAAAGGTTTCCTTCCAAAGACATTCCCAATTGATCAAATGAGACCATTCGTTCTTGTGCAGGTCACTACAGCGGTATCTCCAGCTCCACAACTACCATACAAAAAATCTCTCCATATTTAGTTACATGGATTTTAGGTCTGAATCACTCGTTCTGCCCTGCAACATTGCCCACTGTACCCATCCAGTCATTTCTGAAGTTAATCCATTCAAAGCTACTAAAACAAGTAAAAACTATGGCCAATAAGACAGAACACCACGCCGGGACTAGAGCCTCAGCTCTGACTCTGCTGCAGGGTTGCACGATGATCTCAGAAACTACTTTATTTTCAGGTTCTTCTCATTTGATGGAGGAACACAGTGATACCAAACCCTCCTTTCCAAAAGACGCAGGGCTGTTAATGACAGTGTTAATAGAAGCGTATGTTCTGTAAATATAACTATCCTTGGCTAAAGGACACCAAACATGGAGAAATCTGCCCGAGCCTCAGGCGACAGCTGCAGTGGCGGGGGGGGCCCCATTACACATCACTGGTAGACCTCATTTCTTAACCAGAAGAAATGCGAATGAGGCAGAATATCCTGATACGCACAGCTACTGCAGGAAATGAGAATCAAATAGCTGATAAGCAAACATGTTACATCTAAAAGATGGTTATACAAGACTTCTCCTGTGAAAGATTTAGCCCCTGCACGCTGAAGTGGTACATGTGTGTAATTTCATCAGAGGCGCAAAAGGCCACCTCAGCACCTTGGAAGGAGCCGCCTAATCCAATGCCAATGTGTGCAACCGTAATATAGGTCAGGCAACACATCTGTCTAGACGTCACACTACCATAGCGTATTTATCATAGCCTAGTTCATTGCAGATGAAAAAACCGCTTCGCATACAGCATAAACAGGCCTTCACATTTAAATCAGGTGACAAAGCTCTTACACATGCGTTAAATCCTTCAGTCGTCAGTTTTGATGAATTATGGCAAGGTTTACATTTCTTGCTCAGTTTGGTATTTTGATGATTGCACTGCAGCAGCATCTAAAGGCTCTCACCAGCAGAATAGCTCTTTATGCTGCCTGTGTACATGCAATAGAGAACCCTTCCCCTCAGAGCTGCTGCCTGAGAGACAGACAAAACATGGGAGAAAAGTAGTATTTTTCTCAGTTTTGCAGCTGGCCCATGGAAGCACAGAAAGATTGCTGGGTGTCAAAGTAAGGAAAGAAACTTTGGCAGAGCTAGGGGTTATATCCAAGCCTAGAGGAGTCCTGTGCTGTCTGACCATTTGCGCTTTAAACAGCCAAACTACTGACTGACCCTGCCTCACAAAGCAAGGGCCTGCCTGCTCGCACCCGCACCCTGCACCTACGAACAATCCCCCCGCCCCTCCCTCTGGAGAGAGGGCAGGGAGCTCTCAAGGTGCTGGAGAGGAGCCAGCGGATGAAGCCATTGAACCGCCAGCCCTCTCTGCCTGCTGCATTTCCTCCCACTGGAAAAGCTACAGCTGGAATATGGATCCCTGAGACCATGGGGCTGGGCTGACATATGCAGGACTCTTCCAGGTCCCGTAGGGAGAAAAAAAAAATAAATTAAACACCCCCCACCATCACCACCCAGTGCTCCAGGCAGGTCGTAACTCAAAATCAATAAGCTGAACTCCACATCTCCATGCAGAGGTACAATCCCGTCTCAGGTCGGAACATCACCCCTCACCACAGTGAAGAAGGGCAGACAGATATTTAATTACATCGATTCAACTCCCTAACACTATCACTAGGGAAAATCAATTAGCTGGTAATTTCAATGAAAAATTATATTTTCTTAAGCAAAAAGAGAACTCTGCATGAATTATGTACATCCCACAACGTGGCAGAGGAGGGGAAACGGCTGCAGTCTAGCAGAGTACATCATGGTCATTTCTCTTCAGTTTGCCATGCTGGCTCTCTTGGAGGCGGCCCCGTGGCGCATTGCTCTCCCCACGCTCCCACTAATGCCCACCAAACACCAACAGGGAAGGGTGTCTCCTTTGACACACAGGCAGATATACTCACTGTCAGATGGAGAGCGGTATCTTTTTAGCTTCCTGCTAGGGACCAACTCGTACGTCCTCATTTCCCCGATATCAATGCCTTCAGCCATCTTCAGAACCTTCTCCATGACTTGCAAGCCATATCTGTGTGGATTCAACAGCAAACCACTTTAGAACTGGTCCCACAGGGGCAACACACACACATGCACACACAAGCTTTTATTATGCAAAACAAGAACTAAAGCTGCCTGAGACATAGTACCTGGTGCAAGGGAGACGCTCCCCCTGATTTTGCTGGAGTACTAACGGGGGACCTGACCACCGGCCTCACGCTGTAGCTAGTTCAGTGCTGGCAGACAGCAGCTGGCAGACAGCACACCAGCTAACAAGCTACCTGGCTCTAAGTGAACCCATCTGTGAATAACAAACCGTGCAGCCACCAAACTGATGGTGTTTTAAACTTAAATACATTATCTGTCAAAATATAACATTTGGCAGAGCTACTAGGAACACTAAGGGACATGGGTGTGGAAAAGGAGGAGTCTCTGTGGGCATCGCAGCTGCAGTGAACTAAGCACAGGAGCGACTGACTGGCACTGAAGTCTTGTCTGGGTCAGCAGCCACAGACCGTACGTCACCGATACTGAAATCATGGATGTCAGATGACAAAGGCATTGCTCAACCTTTATTGAACACTCTTTAAAAAGCCATACTAATTTCTAGCGTGGTAGCTGTAACTGAAACATTTTAAATCCCTGAGCCATGACAGAGGTGAGGTGGCTGTAAACTAGCTCTGTGCAAACCCTGACCCTGCTGCAGCACGCTCGCAGTTCCACACAGGCAGGACACACACTGTACAACCCCATCCCTCTTGGCCGTACCTTCCTGACCATCTCAGTGTTCCATTGCTCCAGGGATCTGTCACATGTTTTCAAGCCATTTGTATGGCTGAAGCTGAGCAAGAAAAAAACCCCAAACCTTTCTAACCAAGGAGAACCTACAAACATGGCCTGAAAACAGCCTCCGACAGCTTCGCGCTGTGGTTCAGAAAGGAGAAAAAGCAATCTTGCACCTGTTCCACAGTGTGCACACCTTCAAAAGTCAAAAAGCATCAGGTCACTGCCCATGGACAGGAGTCTACAACTGTCCCAACAGCTAGTGCTGCAATAACTTGCACCAGCTTTTAAACACTACTGTTCCAAGGGCTCTGGAAACCTACTCACTCTGCACTCAAGAAATGCCCTCCCTGTTCCTGATTTAGAGGGCCAGGCAGAAATTAGATCAATTTAAATTATTGGGTGAGAATTCTGAACACACACTACTGCAGTCCCTGCTTCACCTGCAGGTACCCAGCACAGCTCAGCCCCCAGCAGAGAGGCAGTGGAACCGGGCATGGGAAGAAAATGCCAAGACGGATCAAAGGAAGGCAGACGGCAATGATACCCTCATCCTCCCACAGCCAGAAGGGAGAGGGGTGGGAATCCCTGTTCCTCTCTCTGGCTTACAGGGAGAAGAGTACACTGCCTGTGATGGGAACATGAAGGACGATGCCCTTTTCCAGCAGGGCACGAGAACAGCGTTAGATGTGACACAAGTGCGTCACTTTTCTTCACAAAGGATGGATATGTTTGGGGCTCAGATTTCTGCCCGGAGGGAAGATCAACCAGTCACAACATGTATTTGTCTAACCTGGCCTTCGAAATCTCAAGTTGTGGAGACTGCAGGTGGAGGCAGAGGAATGCCACACCTCCAATGCCTAACTAAAGTCTCCCTGGCGTGACTTAAATACATTACCTCTTATCCTGACCCCAGTAGCTCAGGAGCATAATGCTTCTTCAGCACCACCACCATTTTGCAGCCACCTTTAACGTATCTGAGAACACGTGCATCTTCCCTCATCCACCCCTAAACTAAATGAATCCTGTTTCTTAACTCTTGCCTCACAGACCATGTTTTCTAAGTCTTCTGGACATTCTCCAGATCATCCCCCACCAGAACACTCCCTCAGGTGTCATCAAGGAAGACTCTGATGTGTATTTACCCTGACTAACAGGTTGCCTTCAGCTAACAAGTGATCAATATTAAAAAAAACCAAACAAACAAAACCAACAACAAAACCCAAAAAACCACTAAACCAAAAAAACAACCAACAAACTTAAGAGAAAACAACAAAAATCCCCCAAACTTTGAAGTTATTCACTTGACACAGCAACAATGGCTCTTCCCAAGCAGCAAAAGGCAGTTCCAGAGAAAGCTGTGGGTCCCCCCCTTCCCCAGAAAACTCTAAGTAAAGCTGCCAATTGCTCTTCAACAGCGCAGCGTGTTCACCGTGCCCCTGCGGTGCATTCACGTTCATGCCCAACACAAGCTTTGGGGAAACATCCTCACTGACAATGGCCCTGCACCACATCATGTCTGAAACTATTGCTCATGTCTCCCCTGAGAGCTGCAGGTAGAGATGTTCATCAGGGAAAGTATGTGCACTTACAGGCTTAAATTGCATCAATTTTTAGGATTTTAGATCTTGCCACATAGTTCTTCACTTCTGTTACCAGCACCCTATAGCCATATTGCATTGACTCCCAAAAGCACTGTCGCAAAGAAGGCCCTCCATTAAGACAGCACACAAATACATAAGATGAGCTAACGGACCAAAGAGACTATGTCTGTAAAAGATACGTTCAATTTTAACGTACTACTCGAGCTTTAGAATTTGAAGCCGATTTAAAACTGTGCTCAATTTTGGTGCTTGCAGAGCAGAATACTTTAGTACTTGGACCAGAAAGAAGTAAGAAAACATGCAGATCTACATTTGAAGATGTTGACTTGGCTCTGTACAAATGACACAAAATATTCCCCAACAAGGCTTTGGGACAGTAACATAAATAGAAGTCAAACTGTGTGCCCTTCAGTGTTTACAAGCTCCTCTGTCACTGCACAATTTGCTGAAGTTAGTCGTTAAGCAGTTGCTTCTGTCTTTAGAGCCTCATGTCCTGTTAAAAATAATCACAACATCAGAAGTGGCAGTCGGGACGTGGGTGACGTTTCTGCAGATCTCCACAACCTTGCTAGTTACGGTACGGTGGTTTCTGCACGTTAACAGTAATCCTGATGAAGGGAAACCTCTTCCATTCACCGGGCCTATTTCTCTCAGAAAAACTGAGCTTTAAGGCGACTGTCTAGGCTGCTTGACGCTTAGAGGGATACTTTCTTCCCACCTAAGTTACAAAGCACAATACCACATGCTTAACGAGTCCTCGGGCATGGGACATCAAGAACTACTTTCAAAACACACACAGACTTTTTCAGCAGCTTGCTCCCCTCCACATACAAATACACGCATATTCGAGCAAAGAAAACTGTCCAGGAACCGAAGTTCTCCGGCATCGGCCCCTTCCACCCCAGCTCTTCTGGGGTTACTTTTTAGAAGGCAGCCCGGGCCGAGCAGCACCGGGCCACGACGGGAGCCCCAGAGAGCGGGGAGGCGAGAGGAGGGAGCCCGAGCTCCTTCTCCCCGCCCGGCGGCGGGGGCAGCCCGGGCCCGCTCCAGGCGGCGGCTTCAAACTTCTACCCCGACTCCCGCCAGCAGACCGGGCCGCCTCCGCGGTGCCTCAGC